GGGGAATTCTGGGAGTTGAAGTCCGCCCATCTTCAACCCGCTGAGCTTGAGAAACGCTGGTTTAGACAAATGGCATCTGTTCGGTTTCTGTCCCGAGACGCTCTTGCCCCACTTCCAGCCTAGTCCAGGGCCTCGGACGGGGGAACCCAGAGCCTCCTGGGTCTTGGAGCAGAAGGGCTGCTAATGGTGCTCCCCTCTTTCCTCCCCCAGGTCAGCATCATCACGGCCCTGTTGGTCTGCCCCTCCCTCCGAAGAACTGCAGCCACCTCGCTGCGTGCCCGGGAGGAGCTCCAGCCCTCCGGAGTGCCCCCTGCCTGGGGGGCCACATCACAGCACAGCGGGGGCTCGGCCTAAAGTGAAGCCAGATGGGGGGACGAGCAGCCAACTTGGTGGGCGTGGGAAAGCCAGACCGGGCCGGTCCTCGGAGAGACTGAGCCTTTCCTCGCCCAAAGCGGAGTCGGCCACGCAGGGCCAGCGGCAGGCAGACCCCGAGCCCGCCAAGGGGCTCGGCCATTCCTTGCGGCAGAAGCTCCAGGCTGCGGTGGGCCAGTGCTTCCCGATCAAGAGCTTGTCTCGCTCCCCGGATCTCTCTTCCCAGCGCAAAATCCACCTCCGGGAGCTGATGCTGGACACCTGCCCCTTCCCCCCCGGCTCGGAGCTGGCCCGCACATGGAAGCTCATCAAGCAGCACACGGTGCCCGTCTCCGAGCACGATGGCCTGGCGCCCCTGCCCCCCGAAGACGAAGACGACCGCCTGAGGGAGCGGCGCCGTGTCAGCATCGAGCAGGGCGTGGAGCCCCCCCCGGATGCCTTGATCCACACCTTCGAGGTGACGGCTCAGATCAACCCCCTCTACAAACTGGGGCCGAAGCTCGCCCACGGGATGACCGAGTTGGCTGGGCCTGGCCGGGTCATGCTGACAGCCGCAGATGAGCAGGAGGAAGGGGAGGAGGAGGAGGAAGAGGAGGAAGAGGAGGAGGAACTGGAGTCGGCCTTGGCTGGGCTGCCAGAGGTCAGGGACGGCTTCCGGGTCCACACCCAGATCGATTACATCCACTGCCTGGTCCCTGACCTGCTGCGGCTGACCCAGCTGCCCTGCTACTGGGGCGTGATGGACCGCTACGAAGCCGAGTCCCTGCTGGAGGGCAAGCCAGAGGGGACGTTCCTCCTGCGGGACTCTGCCCAGGAGGACTACCTCTTCTCCGTGAGCTTCCGGCGCTACGGCCGCTCCCTCCACGCCCGCATCGAGCAGTGGAACCACAATTTCAGCTTTGACGTTCACGACCCCAGCGTCTTTCACGCCCCCACCGTGAGTGGCCTCTTGGAGCACTACAAGGACCCCAGTGTCTGCATGTTCTTCGAACCGCTGCTCTCCATCCCTGTGAACCGCACCTTCCCGTTTGGCCTGCAGCACCTCTGCCGAGCCGTCGTGACCTGCTGCACCACTTACGACGGCATCGGGCACCTGCCACTCCCCAGGGCGCTGAAGGAGTACCTGAAAGAGTACCACTACAAGCAGAGGGTGAGGGTGCGGCGCCTGGATACCTGGGGGACCTGAAGCGGCTCCTTGATGGCCATCAGCAGCCGATCAGCCTCCTGAGTCTACTCACTTTTCCTTTGGTGACAATTGTAATTCTTAACCCATCTTCTCTAACCTGGCACTCTCTGGAACTGATGGGTGTGCCTTTCCAGGATTCCTAGCTAGCATGCTGGCTGGAAATACTGGGAGCTGTAGTCTGGCACATCTGGAAAGCATTCGGTTGGAGAAAGCGGCCCCGTCTCCCTCCGTGCTTCTCCAGTGTTGTGAGCACAAGTGTGTTTGCGTATGCCTGTTTCACTTTGGTGCAGAATTCAGTGTTGCAGAGACCTTAGGCTGTAGAGATCTGGGGAGCACCCAGAATCTTTGCAAGCAAGAGCAAACAACTGGACCAGAAAACAGAAGTTGAAGTAGCATCAGATGCTTGAGGGCCCGCCAGACAGATCATCTACCCCAACTGGTGCTCTGCTGCTTTGAGGCGAAAGCTACCTGTCAGTGGCCTGCCTTCAGTTCTTCCCCCCTCTGCATATGAATAGTGGGGGTCTGTCAGGGAAGAGATCATGTGCAAACTGAGTTCCAAAGGCAGCCTCTGCATTTTAAAGAACAAGAGTGGCTACAGCCTGATTTCCACTTCATTGCCCTGCGTTGGCAGTCCTGGGCAGCTGGTTTCTGGAGTCACCCTACTCCCTGGTGGGAACCGGGGGCAAGTCAGGACAAAGAAAAAGCACAAAGGTTTGGGGCTGGGAGTGTTTCCAAGCCAGGCTTTGAGCACAAGCGTCACGCAGGAGGATAAGCCGGTGCTTCTCGTTGGGCACCGCCTCTGGCACAATCCTGCAGTTCTTTGCTCTTCTTCCATTCCTCCAAGTCGTAGTTGCTGCCCTATGGAGACCTTGCTGACACCCCAAATCCTGGTTGCCACAGGGCAGCAGAGGGAACCACAAGCGCCTTGCCTTGAGGGCTGAGGCACAGTAGCTGAAGATCTAGAAGCCTTGTTTGCACTATCCTTGGGGAGGGATAATGGGTATAATATAGGCACAACTGCCTCTGAATTCCTGCTGTTGGGCTTCCTCCACAACCTGTCGCTCTGTACCATCGTGCACCATTAAAACCTTTTTGGTCCACTGCTCCTCATGGTGGACTTTCCTGTTAAACTTGGGGCTGAGTGAGCAGCCTGGGAGGGGACTGAAGCGGCTCCAAGGCCCAGCTGCCCCTCCCAGCAAAGGAAGACCTGTGCCCCATCTCCAGCCTACACAGGCACCCTGGTTTCACAAAGGGGAGGGGCAAAGCACCCAAACCCTTTCCCACTGAAAAATCAGGGCCAACAGGAACCAGTTGTCAGACCTGCCTGCAACCCTGCTCTCTGGACAGGTTTGAGTCTGGTTTTGCTTTCTGAAAGGTGAGCTGGCTGCCCCCAAACTAGTCTCGCTGAGCAGGAGGCAGGGGTGCCAAAGGGCCTGGTGGGCCCAGCTGTTACCAAGAGACCCGTGGCCCTGGGCAACTGCTATTGAGGGTGCAATGGAAGGAAGTCCTGGTAGATCATTCCCCAGGTTAAGAACAAACAGATGTTGCCTTTCCTACTGCTGCCAAATGCGCTGGGCCAGCCCATTAGATGAAAAATGTCCGCCTAACAGATCATTCTTGTTGGCAGCAATAGTGGAGGCAAACACAGGAGTGTAATTTCAAAGGGCAGATTCCGGCAGGTGGTCTCCAAAGGCCAACCCCCAAAGAACAGTGTTGGCAACTTTAAGATCTGTGGAGTTCAATTGCATGCTGGCTGGGGAATTCTGGGAATTGAAGTCCACAGATCTTAAAAGTTGGCAAGGTTGAGAAACATTGCCACAGAAGAACCTGCTGCTATAAACAACCCACAAGCTTTGCTTTGACTGGTGGGCCTTTTTCAGTGTAAGACACAATGACTGGGTTATTAGTGGTGTGCAAAATATTTCATATTTAAACACTTCTGAGTTTAGTACAGCAGTTTGGACCACTCCAGAACTCTCCTGAGATTTAGTAGCATCAGAAAATTTCTGGGAAGGTTGGAACTATCCATTTCAAACATAGAACAATTGAAATTCAAAATGTTTGGCACATCCAAGATACAGAAACACCTGAGGGGGGCAGACTGGGTGCTTCCAAAGAGGAAAAAATGGGGGGGGGGATGACGTGTCACAAACAGATGCACTGACTCCCCCCGTTATCCCGGAACAGACCCAAAAAATAAAAATGTGTCACTCTCGGTTTATAGTTATAAAAAGGGGCTGTCTGAGCAAGCATTTGCAGGGAGGCAAACCACGGGACAAAGGCTCCTGCCCTCCCCACGTCTGGGGCCTGAGCTTGAGAACGTGCAAGGACGTTCACCTGAACCAAAGGCAGACCCAGGAGGGAACACCCAGGCCTTCAAAGCCACGGCTGGTCTTGCTGGTGAACTTTGGGTAAATCTGACATCTCAGTGGCTTCTGAAGACACCACCGCTGGTTGCTCAAATGCAGGAGGAGATGGAGCAACCCTGCTGTAAGGCACCACGCTCCTCCCCAGGTGAGGAGGAGCATCGGTCTGTCCAAACCAGCCACTCTTCCTCCAACAGGGAGCCCAACCC